GGGGGGGTCGTGGGGCGGCCCCCCGCCAGGAACACACAAGCCACACCCAGGCTGGGCCGCCCACTTCCGGTCCTTATCAGGATTTCCCCCCTTTCTCTTTTTTTTTTTAAAGAGATTTTTACTGCCGGCAGGGGGCGTGGTGGTTAAAGTGCATTGGACTCCACATGGCCGACCCTGGTTTGAGTCCTGGACCTGGCAGGTTGCTTTCTCACTTTCCCACTCTATCACTCACTCTGTCCCTTAAAATTAAATAAGTAAATAAATAAATGAAGGACCCACGGAGATTAAGGCAGCTGGATTCCACATGGCCACCTGCATGGTTTTAAGTCCCGGACCCAGCAGCTTGAAAAACATGATGGGCTGGGTGTGGGTGCCCCAAATCCCCAGTGGAGAACAGAGGAGACGGGATTGTGGTGTGGCCATTCTCCCTGGGGTGGGGGTGCTTTCTCACACATACCCTATGGGAGAAAAAAAAAAAAGGCCGGGAGGGAGAGGGGTAAGGTGAGGCCAGGGAGGTGACAGGCATTATGCAGGGGCTGGTGAGCTGCAAGGATGATTCTGGCTCCTACGAAGTGAGGTGGGAGCCGTGGAGGGTTCTGGGTCGAGGAGGGACAGCTGACACAGAGAGCTGATGATGGAAGACGAGAACGGGGGCATTGGGGAATTGGGATGGGGTGATGTAGGTGAGTTCTCTTTTAATTACTTCATTTTTTAAAAGCATTTTAAAATTTAATTTTATTTATTCCTTCATTTTACTTTCATTTGACCAGAGAAAGAGACAGAGAGAGAGAGAGAGAGAGAAAGTGAGAAAGCAAGCTGCCAGGTCTGGGACTCGAACCATGGTCAGCCATGTGGAGTGTCCAGCGTCTTAACCACCACACCACCTGCTGGCCCCCTTAATTATTAAATTAAATTAATTAATTACTATTACTTTGATTTGACCAGAGAGAATGAGAGAGAGAGGGAAAGTGAGAAAGCAAGCCACCAGGTCCGGGACTTGAACCGTGGTAGGGCATGTGGGAGTCCAGCGCCTTAACCACCATGCCACCCACCATCCCCCATAAATGGGTTCTGACTTGGGATCTCGCTGGAAGAATATCGAACAACTGCATGGGGGAGTGCCTGTCGTCTGTACACGCATGAGCGCCTTAGAGCTGTGGCCTCGTCTTTCGGCCCTGTCCCCTCTCGTGTGTGCGTGTCCCTACCTGGGTTCCACGCTGAGAATGCGGAACGCCGGGCTGGTCTCTGACAGTCGCTCCCGTTTCACAGGACACTCCTTCTCCTGGGGGTAGAGGTCAGAGCTAAGTTAGGGGACCCTGGCCTCCCTGCCACCCCACCTCTGTCAGCCCTGCCTTTACCCAGCAGCGCATAATGTCCCAGAGCGCCGAGGCCGGGGCGTCCGTCTTCACGGCGTTCTTACAGGCATGCGACAGTGAGACCCGGAAGCCAGCGTGGAGGAGGGCGGACCTGGAGACGGACCGGGATGGTAAGGGGGCGCTGGACCTCGAGGTCCAGACTGGCTTGTGTTGGTGTGAGTGTGTCGTGTGGACTGGCCGGCTGCACCTCTCACATGACTATGGGTGTGTGACGTCGTAACATGATTAACTGCTGCTGGGCTTCTGGGCTCTGTTCCTTTTTAAAAATTTTTAAAGAATTATTTGCTTGGGACCAGCAGTTAGCGTAATGGCTATGTTGCTGGACTCCCATGTAGTCGACGGCGGTTCGAGTCCCGGACCTGGTGGCTTAAAACTCACGCCGGGTGCGTGTGCGTGCGTACCCAAGATCCCAAGAGGAGAATGGAGGAGAAGGGATTGCGGCATGGCCATCCCCCTCAGGGGGGGGGGTGATTTCTTGCTTTCTGTCTCTGTCTGTCTGGCGAGCGCACGTGCCCTATA